ATCATGTCATCTGCAAATAGTGACAGTTTCACTTCCTCCTGTCCAGTTTCGATCCCTTTTATTTTTTCTTCCTGTCTGATTGCTGTGGCTAAGACTTCCAGTACTATGTTAAATAAGAGTGGGGAAAGTGGGCATCCCTGTCTTGTTCCTGTTCTTAAGGGAAATGCTTTTAGTTTTTGCCCATTGAGTATGAGGTTGGCTGTAGGTCTTTCATATATGCCCTTTATTATGTCGAGATATGATCCCTCTATTCCCACATTGCTGAGTGTTTTTATCAGAAATGGGTGCTGGATTTTGTCGAATGCTTTTTCAGCATCTATTAATATGATCATGTGGTTTATTAATCCTTCATTTTGTTTATGTGGTGAACCACATTTATTGATTTGTGAGTATTGTATTGTACCAGCCTTGCATCCCTGGGATGAATCCCACTTGGTCATGGTGAATAATTTTTATGATGTATTGCTGCATTCGATTTGCTAGTATTTTGTTCAGGATTTTGGCATCTGTGTTCATCAGGGATATTGGCCTGTAGTTTTCTTTCTTTGTAGTGTCTTTTTCTGGTTTTGGAACTAGAATTATTCTGGCCTCATAAAATGAGTTTGGAAGTCTTCCTCCTTCTTGAATTTTTTGAAATAGTTTGAGGAGAATGGGTATTTGTTCTTCTTTGAATGTTCGGTAAAACTCCCCTGTGAAGCCATCCGGGCAAGGGTTTTTGTTTCCTGGGAGAGTCTTGATTACATCTTCAATTTCTTCTGTTGTTGTTTGTCTGTTCAAGTTTTCTATCTCTTTCTGGTTCAGTTTTGGGAGACTATGTTTTTAGAAATTTGTACATTTCACTTAGATTGTCGAATTTGTTGCCATAGAATTGTTCGTAGTATCTGTTAACTATCTTTTGTATTTCTGTGGTGTCAGTTACTTCTCTTTCATTTCTGCTTTGTGTATTTGGGTTCTCTTTGTTTCTTGGTGAGTGTAGCTAAGGGTCCATCAATCTTGTTTATCTTTTCAAAAAGCCAGCTGTTTTTTTCTTTGATCCTTTGAATTGTTTTTTTGGTCTCTGTGTCATTTATTTCTACACTGATCTTTACTATTTCCTTCCTTCTACTTACTCTGGGGTTTTCTTTTTGTTTGCTTTTTAGTTCTTTGAGTTGTGAGGTTAGATAGTCTATTCGAAATTTTCCTTGTTTCTTGAGGTAGGCCTGTAGTGCTATGAACTTCCCTCTCAGAACTTTCACTGCATCCCATAGATTTTGTGTTGTTGTGTGTTCATTTTCATTGATTTCCAGGAATTAAAATAAATTTTTTTTGCTCTCTATTGTAACCCATTCATTGTTTAATAACATGCTATTTAGCTTCCATGTGTTCAAATGTCTTTGCATATTCTTGTTGCAGTTGATTTGTAGTTGCATGCCATTGTGATCTGAGAAGATGCTTGATATGATTTCAGTCTTCTTAACCTTGTAGAGACTTAGTTTGTGTCCTAACATGTGGTCTATCTTTGAGAATGTCCCATGTGCACTTGAGAAGAATGTGAATTCTGTAGTTTTGGGGGTAATTTTCTGTAGATATCTATTAAGTCCATTTGGTCTTGTGCTTCATTTAGAGTCTGTTTTCTTGCTAATTTTTTGTTTAGAGGATCTATTCAGTGATGTCAGCGGGGTGTTGAAGTCCTCCAAAAGATTATTCATATATTTTGGTGTTCCTATATTGGGTGCATATATGTTTACAAAGGTTATATCTTCCTGTTGGATAGATCCTTTCAATATTATGTAGTGGCCTTCTTTTTCTGTAGTTATGGCCTTCTTTTTGAAATCTATTTTATCACATATGAGTATTGCTACCCCAGCTCTTTTTTCCTTTCCTTTTGCGTGGAAGATTTTTTTTTCATCCCTTCACTTTCAACCTATGGGTCTCTTTTAAACAACATCTATGAGTCATGCTTTCTTATCCAATCCTATGAGTCATGCTTTCTTATCCAATCAGCTACTCTGTGTCTCTTTATGGGAGCATTCAAACCATTTACATTTAAGGTGATTATTGATATGTACTTATTTATTGCCATTTTTGTTTAGTGTGCTTCTATTTTTCTTTCTATTTCTTCTAGTAATTACAGCAATCCTTTTAACATTTTATGCAGTGCTGGGTTGGTGCTAATGTATTCCCTTAATCTTTTTTTTTTCTGTCTGGGAAGCTCTTTATTTGATCTTCTATTTTGAATGATAGCCTTGCTGGATAGAGTAGTCTTGGATTCAGATCCCTGTTTTTTCATGACCTTGATTATCTCATGGCATTCCCTTCTGGCCTGTAGTGTTTCTGTTGAAAAGTCAGATGATAGCGTTATGGGGGTTCCTTTGTAGGTGAGTTGTTGCTTATCTCTTGCTGCCTGTAGGATTCTTTTTTGTCTTTATTTTTTGGCATTTGAGTTACTATGTGTCTTGGTGTGGGCCTGTTTGGGTTCTTCTTACTTGGGCCTTACTGTGCTTCTTGAACTTGAATGCCTTCTTCTTTCACCAAATTAAGGTAGTTTTCTGTCACTATTTCTTCAAATATATTCTCTAATCCTTGCTCATTTTCTTCTTTGGGGACTTCTGTGAATCAAGTATTATTAATTTTGCAGTTGTCCCACAGTTCTCTTACGCTGTGTTCATGTTTCTTAATTGTTTTTTTCCTTTTGGGTATCTGATTGGTTTTTGATTGGTTTTCTACCCTGCTGTCTAATTCACTGATCCAGTCCTCAGCTTTCTCTAGTCTGCTGTTTAATCCTTCAAGTGTTTTCTTTATTTCTGCTGTATCATTCTTCATTTTTTCTTGGTGGTTTTTATTTTCAATTGGTTGATTTTCAATTTTCTTATGTCTTTACTCATGGTGTTGATGCCCTTACTCATGCTGTTAAGCTTCCTCAAGATCATGGCTCTGAATTCTATGTCTGTTAACTTGCCTAACTGCATTTAATTTATCTCATCTTCGGTAGAGGTCTCTTGTTCTTTCATTTGGGATTTGTGTCTTTGTTTCATCATTTTGGCTATCTCAGTGGTCTTTGGATCCTGCCAATTTTTTCCTGTGAGTGTTGGTGTTCTGCTGTTTGTGGCTCCCTCTACTTGGTTTGAATGAGTGTGGGAGGACCCACGTTAAACACCAGTGTCAAGTCTTACTTTCCTGGGTAGAGTTGGAAGCCCAGGTAAGGTTTAGTTATCCTCCAGCTTTTTGCTTGTTGGCTATTAGTAGTGGTTATTTGAAGAGTCTTGGGTTGTAAGTAGAATGAAAAACTCCCTGGGGTGTTCAGAGTAAAGTGATTTCCTGAGGGAGGAGAAAACACTGGTTTTCAATGAGCCTCAATTTGCATTTCAATGGACCACTTAGTAGGGTTGAATCTCCTAGGGCGGGGCTACAGTCTCTCTCCAGAGCCCTGGGAATGAGTAAGATGGCCACCGTCCTGTGTGAGTACAACTCAGCAAAAGCTCTGAGCACCCTCCAAATCCCGAGTGTCCCCACACAGTTCCAGTCCAGTCCACCCTCCCTCTACCAGAGACCAGTGTGAGTGATGGTGGCTATTTTAGCATCTGTCCCGGCTCTGTGCTGTGGAGCCACTTGGGAGTTTAACCTGAGGGTGTTGCTCACAGCTAAGACTGCTGCTGTTGATGGGCTCCCAGCCCCTATCTCGCGCCTGCACAATCCTACCAGGGTCAGTTCAGTGTCCCTGGTTATATGGTCCTTGCAAGCTGTGTTTCTGTTGCTTTTTTCCATCGATTTTTCTGTTTTAGCTGTAATTCCAGTTTGGTCCTGGGAGATGGTTTGTGTAGCTTCCATTCCCTCTGCCGCCATTTTGGAATGGATATATTTCTTTATCCCTCATGCTTAACACGTAGTTGTGTAATTGCTGTGTCCTATAGTCAAGGTATATTTAGGTTTAAAGAAACTGGCAAACTCTTTTGCAGCGGGGCACCGCCATGGTGCATCTCCACCAGCCAGGTAGGAGTGGTCTAGGTGCTTCACATCCTCACCATTCCAGGGAGTGTGTAGTGTTAGTTTACTGTTTAATTTGCATTTGCCTGTTGATAAATGATTGTGAACATCATTTCATGTGATCATTGGCCATTCATATATCTTGTTTTTTTGATTGGACTGTTTGTGTTATTAATATTGATTTGTAGGAGTTTGTAAATATTCTGAATACAAATTTTTATGAGAGAATTTTATCATTGGGTGAGGCAGTCTGTCACGGGCCCTGAAGATCATTGTGTAGTTTTTTCTTGTTATGCCAAGAATTCAAGGACTGAATGAATGATCTTTACCCAGGCCATTTTTCAGCCTTGCATTTGAATGAGGAGCCTTAGAAGTGAAGTTATGTTTGTCTATGGATAATGAGCAGGCTTATTACTACTGTTCACTGTAAAAAAATATTATGAATCCCCCAAGCTCAGTGTTCTTTCCAAGTGATGCCATGCACAGCGCGTGTAGGCTTCCATCATTGGTCCAGCACCATCACTGAGCTAGTTGGTGGGTTGGGGAACCAATATATGCATAAGAAAATGTTTGACTCTACTTTAGGATTCTTGAGTGTTCTCTCAGCATCCATGAAACAGTAACAGGCTAATTTATCTTATATGTAGGGTAAAATCTCAGGCTTTTTGTGTTGCTTGGGATATTCATAATATTTTATTGAATCTTGTATTGAATTTTGCTTTTAAAGGGTGCTTAAAACATATTACTATATTTTAAAATATTTTCTATGTTATACGCTTTATTTTTCATATTTTTTATTTGAAAAAGTAATTTTAATTTGCAAACCTTTTGATATTGTTACTATCTTTTGTGGATGCCTTGGGTTATGAATTTATAGATTTATGGGCAGAAGTAAGGAAATCATCCTTTCAAAGTAATATTTTTCTGAGTAGTTGTGTGTAGTCGTTCATATGAGAGGGGGGCGGGTTAATGTAATTGTTATTTTAATGGATAATTTTCACACAGTATGAATTACAAAATTTTTTATGACTTTACAGGGAAGTCTTAAGAGGAATCGGCAGATTTCACCTCAGGAATTCATCCATGAACTGAAAATGGGGTCTGCAGATGAAAGACTTGTCACGTGCCTGGAGTCACTGCGTGTATCTTTGACTAGTAATCCTGTGAGGTAATTCCTATGTCTGAACATCATCAGGGCATGTTAACAAATTAAATGGTGACTATTAACCTGTCATTTTAATTTAATACTTTCTTCTATAGTTAGTAGCCAGTATACCTCAATAACTATTTAAGGCAGTTGCCCTTTAATACAGTTCCTCATGTTGTGGTGACCCCCCCAACCATAAAATTATTTTTGTTGCTACTTCAGAACTGTAATTTCGCTACTGTTATGTCTTAGGTGACCCTTGTGAAAGGGTCATTTGACCCCTAAAGGGATTGAGAACCACTGGTTTAAAGTAAAAATTGAATACACAATATTTATATGCATGAAAAAATTTAGTCTCAATTGTACTTTTATTATTTATTATTGAGTAATACATAGCCTATGGACTTTTAAAAACTCACCTTTTTTTCCCTTAGAATTTAAAAAAACTTAGGTTATTTTTAAGAGAGAACAGTGAAGATCATAAACTACTAAATTTAATGTGATTGAGTTTCACTCTGAATTTTGGTATCGCATATCAATTGGCTATTCTTGTTTGACATAGCAAGAAATACCACTGGTTTATGTTTTCCTTTATTGAAAATGGTTGTGTTAGGTTTGTGTTGTTAGATTTAGCAAATATGAATACAGGATGCCCAGTAAAATCTGAATTTTAGCTATGCTTGCACTAAAAAAAATTGATTTTCTGGAATACAGATTTAACTGAGAGTTCTGTATCTGGCTGGGAACATTAGTATAAGGGTGTCTATAAATCAATTTTTAGACTTTTTAGCTGAGCATATTCCTAAAATTTTTCAAGCAGAAATTATTATGAAATTGTTATCTGAGCAGTCATAGAATCAGAATTTCACAGCTCCAAATGTCTCAGCTAGATCAGTTTTAACTATTTATTGTATGTCAATGCTTATTTTTGCATAAGAACATATCTGCATTTACATGATAAGTATGTATGAGTGTGTGTGTGTATATATATACATATATACAAGGGCAGACAAAAGTACAATTTAGAATTGTGAGTACATGAAACACAATTATTCAAGTAATAGTCATAACTTGCATGTCTCTTTCCCTACGAACAACTAAACCTATTTTTGCCCACCCCTGTATATTCCAGGGTGTATATTCCTGTATAGAATGGCAAACTATGATTGGTTGTTAATATGTAAAAGAATTTCTTAGATATCCTCTGTGATTGTTATTTTTTAGACATTCCTATAGTTAGACTATAGTGTGAAAAAATCCTTGACAGTACAAGTATTTAAAACAGGGACCATACCTGCTAAGTCATGGAAGTGAGTGAGGTTTAACTAAGAAGTATGAAGAGTGAACAAAGAATCTTTATTATATTTCACCTTTATCTTTATTTTTTCATATTTTTCCACTTTCAATTTGTTCTCCAGACTGTAAACCAAGAGTGTGCATGAGACCAGGGACTTCATATATCTTATTTACCTCTCTTTACTAGACCGTGCTTAGCACATGGAAAGTACTCGCTCAAGATTTGTGGATTGAAACAATGATGTTTGGTTTTAGCCTTCTTGAGTCTCACCTTGCTTATTGTTAAAAACTAAGTTGAATTAGGAATGTATTTATAGGTATAGTCATACATAAAAAGCCCTGGTTTCTAACTTTTTCTGTAACTGTTAAATGTAGTCATTCGTAAAAGAATTATTGAGCACCTGCTACTTTTCAAGTATAGTACTACATTAGATGTGGGCTTAAGAAAATAGCAAAGCTGATCCAGGCACTGTTCCTGTGGAGTTTGATGTAGGAAGAGGGTATTTTGGGGTTGATTGGGGAGATACACTGATTTCTCAGTTTATCTGGAAGCCATGAGCAATGGAGATATTCATGGCTTTTCAATATAATTAAAAGTATACCTTTTCTTCTCAATCTTAGTCTTTTGAATAAGTGAATATAATAGCAAAAGAACAACAGGAAGGGTTTTATGTATAAATTCATGCACATTACAACAGATACAATTATTTTTGTGATTTCACCTAAAAACACTGGGGAATAATGGTATATATCTCTTTCCTTTGTACCTAATTAAAAAAAAAAAAATTCAGCCCTGGCTGGTGTGGCTCTGTTGATTGAGCATCATCCGGTACACCAAAAGGTTTTCAGTTTGATTTCTGGTCAGGGCACATGCCCAGGTTGTAGGTTTGGTCCCAGGTCAGGGTGTACACAGGTGGCAGCCAATCCATGTTTCTCTTTCCCGTTGATGTTTCTCTCTCTCCCTCTTCTTTCCTCTCTCTCTAAAATCAATAAAAACATTTTTGAAAAACCTAAACACTATGGAAATAGTTCAAGAATGGCCAGTTCTAAAATATGAGGAATCCACAAGCGATTTGTATGTTCCCTACAAAGTAGTCTTGTTAAAAGAAAGGAATGGCAAATCTTATTAGACAGTTTTTTTGTTTTCCCTGAAATAGCACTTACATAGATGGAAAATTGAGAAGATACTCGAGAACATTTCTGCGCCTAGTGCTCCGATTAGAGGAATGACTTAAAGGGACATGTGAAACTTGAAATTATGCCTATGATTAAATCTTTAGATTTTGCTGTCAGTTATGTATCTGCTGATAAGTCAGTTTTTCTTATTTCCCTTTTTATGCACAGTATGTGACTAAATTTCAAGAGAGAAGGAATTCTAATTTTTGTAAGCGTCTGAGATCATTGTTCAATCTGTGGTATTACTGAGAAAATTAGAGTTGAATTCCGTAATGTCTGCAGATAGAGTTGAAAAAGAAACAAGTGAACTGATTTATGGTAGCTCTCCAATGCTGGAATCAGGATTATTTAAATTAAAAATCAAGGAAAAGGTAGGAGGCGCCACCCCTTTCCGCCAGCTGATAAGTAATGTTTTTAGAGCCATTCATCAACTGCTGAAGCTCTGCCTGGCCGTTAGGAGCCCCGCCAGCCTTTTACTCTCCGGATGGTGAATTATGTAGAAACCATTGCATGATAGACCAGATTATTAGCCTTTTATGAAGAGTTGATTTGAAGATCACAAAGTTCTTCCGTTTGAAGTTCTATTGATTATTCAATATTCTTGGTGACACACCTCTGTGCTAAAAGACGAAATTGCTTTATTTTTGAAATACCCGAGAAGAAAGTTCTTCAAATTATCAAATATTACTTTTAGTGAATCTTGACATAGTCAGCAATTACATTTAAGCTATCAAGCACGTTGAGGTGGAAATGTGAAAAGGTAGACACTAACATCATTATGATTGATAGCAAGCATTTTAGTCCATAGCCATCTATGCACAGAGCAAAGTAATTATAGAATGCATCTTCATTTTCTCAATTTGATGCAGCTGTCAAGGATCAGACTTCTGTCTCAGAAAATCCAGTCTTATCAGGTCTTTATGTTTTGTGATTTTAGGCATTATTTTCCTTTACTCATGGTTAATGTTTAGAGGTTTACAAGAAATATTTTTGCATTTTGAAGTTTACTGGAACTGGAAGTATTTTCTCGCTAAAGTTACCTTTGTTAAAAGATTTCTATTGAGCTTTTGGAACTAAACTTGATTAAATTAATAAAAGTAACTTACAGAAAATCAGTTTAAAAAATTTTCAGTTTAAATATATTTGTTTACTGCAAAGCAAGTGAGCAAGCAGCCTTAGTGTGTCAGTATTCCATTTAATCAGGGTCATGTTTGAAATCTAGTTTTTCCCGTTCTGAGCTTGAAACCACAAAGGCACTGTAGGAGCTTAACATTGGTGTTGACATATGTTTTGCGCCACGTATGTTTTGTGCCACGTACTACACGTGTGATGAAAGAAAGAGAAAAGCTTGTGGCAAGCAGTGCAATCATGTACTCTTTGCCATAGCATGAACTGAAGAAAAATATTAAGACCAAAAATTTTGAAGTTACTAATACTTTGACTTATTTAAAAATTAGTTTATAAAACATTAAACATATAAAAAGGCTATCAGTAACAGTAGAACAAACAAGTACTCACTTATTTAAGCTAAGATATAGAATATTTCCTATACCTTTAAAGCTTCCATGAATTCCTCTTTAATTCTATATAGCCTCTGCCACTATCCTGTGGTGACGACTGTCCTGAATTTTGGGCTTATCACTTTTATTTTCTTTTTATTATAGTTTCACCATATATGTATTCTTAATATATTGGTTTGATGTCCTGTTCTACTCTTTGTAAATGACATCATTTCCCCTGTATTCTTCTGTGACTTGAGGTTTTCTCTCTATTTTTTATAGATTTATGAATGTCAGTGTGTGTAGTTCCTCACATTGTATCACAATGAATCATTTTTTATACCTTTTATTTTTTCTTATACTTTAGAAATATCTAACATCTGAACACTTTTAAAAAATCCTTTCTGATAATCTTTGTCTTTATCTTGCTGTTTTATTTTTTTACATTGATTTAAAAATATTTCAGAATTTATATCTGATATTTTATTTTTAATTCTGTTTACCTTTCCATATTATTCCCCCATCTCTCCCTCTTCCTTCTGCTCCTTCTTCCTTTTCTGTATTCTTCATTCTTTTCCTTCTTCCTCATCCTTAAATTCTTTTGGATAGACTTTTAATCTCTTATTTTTCCTCATTTACTAATTTGGAAGACACATTTATTCTTTTTTCTGCTCCTATAACAAAAACTTTTCCCTGGCTGTTTTGGCTCAGCGGTCAGAGTGTTGGCCCACAGACCAATGAATCACGGGTTCGATTGTGGTCAAGGGCACATACCTTGGTTGCTGTTATTGTGGTTATATTTTTCTTTCTATTTCTTCTACTAATTATAGCAGTTCTTTTAACATTTTATGCAGTGCTGGTTTGGTGGTAATGTATTCCCTTAGCCTTTTTTTGTCTGGGAAACTCTATATTTGACCTTCTATTTTGAATGATAGCCTTGCTGGGTTGAGTAGTCTTGGATTCAGATCCTTATTTTTCATGACCTTGATTATCTCATGGCATTCCCTTCAGGCCTGTAGTGTTTCTGTTTCGAAGTCAGCTGAGAGCCTT